GCTAGGGATGGTTTTCCTTTGGATGGATGGGAAGGGGATGTGCTGTGGCGGTTTTTTTGGGGGTGGGTTTTTTTTTTTTTTTTTTTTTTTTTTTTTTTTTTTTTCTGATCGATTGAGCTACTGTGAACTTTCGCAGTACTAACCCTGTCTCTAAACCAAGTCTGGGGAGCATTCCCCAGAGCCTTTGCTCTGGACTGAGCCCACCCTCCCTGTTGCTTGCTCGGCATTGTCGGCTTTCCGCGAATTCCCAGCAGCCAACAGACCAGTTCTTTATTCCGGGCCAGAGGTTTTGCTGCAGCTTCCAGCCGGAAGCCGCAACTGCTGCTAAGGAGCTGGGGGACCTGGCAGCTGGGAGAAACAGTATAGGAGAAAGTTGCGGCCCAAAGTCAAAGGCTGCCAGTACCCAAGCCCTGGGCCAGGGTGTAGTGCTTTTATTCCTTAGCACCCTCTCCACTGCTGCTCCCCATTCCCTGACCTCTGGTGATACACTGCTAGGAGCTTGCAGGCCACCTCCGACATTTCCCTAGCGATGATAGGGTGGGAAGGGGTCTGAAGGCAGCAATAAGCTTGCCACCCAGTCCAGATCACGGGACCCAATGGATGTCTGTGAGCCCCGCCCCCGCCCTCTTCTCATGTCCCGCCCCCAGACTGCAGCCAAGTCCCTGAAACAGCAGTGTCTCCCGGTCTCCAACCCTGGGCCCGCCAGAGTCGACCCCCAGCGCGGGCATTAAGCCGCGCCTGGCCACCTCCCTCCCAGGCCTAGCAACCCGTGCCAGCTCCGGGCGGGGTCCTGCGGTTTTGACAGGCTCCTCCTCCCCGGCTCCTCCCCTCCCCGTCGGGTCCTCCTGCGCTAACTGAGCTCCTCCGGGCCCCTGCGCCTGCTCCCAGCCATGGTGGCCTGGCGCACCGGTTTCCTCATTTGCTTCGTTTTCTCCTTGGCCACCCTGGTCCAGAGAGGTAAGGTGGGTGTGGGCTGGGGCACCCAGGGACCCCGCCCTGTGGCCTGGGGGTCGCTCTGTTCTTGAGTGGCCTTGTTCCGCCTGGCTGGCCTGAGGTAGGGGGCATCGGACTACCTGGCAGCTAGTCTAGGCCTAGGGGTAAGGGTCTGAGGCTTCTAGAAATAAACCCACTGTGAATTGTATAGTTGAAGATGAGGGATGGGACCCTTCTTAGAGCTGGTCTTAAAACACTAGGATGTTAAAATCCTAGTCAAACATTGGTGACAACGGCTGTCCCCAGGAGTGTACCCTGGGAATACCTTGGGAAAACCTTGAAAAAAAAAAAACAGTCATTTTGAAAATTGGCTGTGAAGCCACCTGCAGCAAAAGCATATGGAGAGGTTTCCAAGGGGACTTCCTGGCCACTTTCATCAGGATCTAGGAGAGGTTGGGTAAGGCAAATCGAAAATGGAATGGGGGCAACTTGTAAGTCTTTCTAGCTCGCTACATGCTTTTGGTGTCTGTCCTTACACTACTAGAGACTTTTGGTCATATATTGTGGAGGAGATGGACACAGAGTTGTGCTGAATCAAGGGAGCAAGTTTCTTTCACAGTGTGCAACTCAATTTGTGGAACAGGACGCAATGGCATCAGCTTGGGTCTTGTTAGAAATGCAGTAGCTCATGCCCTGCTCTGACCTACTGAGTCAGATTCTGTGTTTTATTTAGCATAATAACCAGATCCCTGGGGAATTTGCAGGCACATTAAAGTCTGAGTAGCATCTTCTTATGATAAATACAATCTGTGCTTGAAAATAGTGTCTTCAGCATGTACCAACAGAGTCTTCTTTCATTTATTTATGCCCCATTTCCACAGCAGGAGGAAAAAAATGGCTTCAAGAAAACACTGCAGTTGTAATTGAGCAGGATTGTGCGCTGAGCTTTCTGAAAATGATGGCAAATCCAACCATTGAAAAACATAGGCAAACAAAACTTGGTCTTAGCACTGACATCAACTGAGGTTTATGTCACATATAAGGAGCACTGCGAAAGAGAACTCCTAGCCCAGGACAATATGCAAAAGATGCGGAAATATTTTTTCTAAGGGCAAGCCTGCTGGAGTTGTTACAAAAAGAACCTTTCAATGAGCTACAAGAGGTATGGCCAGTCTGGGTTCTAGGAACCGATGCAGAGGGTGAAGAAAGCCAAGACTTCTGTCTCTGTGATGACAGCCCAGTAGAGGGAGAAAACCAGCATAAACATCTCATGTGTGTGATAGACTGCTATGGAGAGAAGAAAGCAAACTGTCACAGGGATAAAGAGTTGCTATTTTTCTTTTTTCAGTTTCCCTTTGGGGATAACATTTTTATTGTCTAATGGGCTTTTGAGAAAAAAGCCCACCTTATCCTTGAGGGCTATATTCTCAAACACTGCAGGAGATGCTTGATACTACAATGTGGCTTTTCTCCTTTGTTGAAATTGGAACACGAAGCCCTGTGCATGCTAGATAATTGCATGTTATAGAATGGAAGTTTTGACACTATAGCCTATAAATGGCCAAGCCTCAGGTTTTCCTGCTTTGAGTTGAGAGAGATTGAGGAAGCTGGTAGAAGTGAGGTCATACAGTGATTAATTGGCAGCTAGGGTTGCTCCCAGGTTTCTGTGACTCCACAGCAACCGTCTTAAAACACTAAGTACAATTCATTTATACCTAGAGTCTGCCCCACTTCTCCTCCTCCTTTTTACAGAGAGGGTCTCATGTAACCCAGTTTGGTAGCCTCAAATATGCTATGTGTCCAAAGCTGGCCTTGAACTCTTGATCCTTCTGCCTCTGCTTGATGAGATCTGGGCTCATATTCCTAATTCTCTTGCCTCTACCTCTTGAGACTTGGGATGACACTTACATGCCGCCATGCCTAGAAGGTATCTTGTTTTGAATCATCACAACTGTTCGGGTTAGGTATTATCCTTGCTTCCAAGTAAGGGAAATGTCATGTATCAGAAGAAATTCCAGGGTTCAAACCAGGTTAGAATTCCACTCTGTGACCTTTTTGTTTTGTTTGACCTAAGAACATTGGAGTAGATGTAGGATTGTTTTGAAGGTAGAGACCTATTTCCTATTTTTTTTTTGTATTGGGGTCCAGAGAGCTCTGCCCTGGTGTCCCTTTTTTCTTATTCCTAATCCTCAGTAATGGGTTGTGCCTGAGCAACCCCAGCAAGCATGCAAAAGGTCCCAGAAGCCCATCTTGGGATAAGATGTTAAGTTCCTCCAGGCTCTAGAAAGTAGAGACAGGTTTTACCTCCCAGTATTTGAAAGTGTAGTTTAAGAGGTCACTATAAAGACAAATGGGAGTTAACTTCAATGTGTATCTTACTGGTTTTGTAACATTTTCTGAGGATAGGGGTCCTCTGAAGGTGCCCTGAGTGTGGCAAGTTTTTCTTCTTAGTACCAGGGAGAAGGACCTCAGCTCGATTCTCTTGCTCTGTGTGTGTGTGTGTCCTAGCAGGGGCTATATTTCAAGAAAGGCTTCCCTGAGACAGACTCTTAGTATATTGCACACATTCACCCCTTTTACCATCCTGGGAAGGCTGCCACTGTGACCTTTTCATCCCCTCTACATACACAGTGACCTGTTGCAGTCTTGAAAAGTAATGGACAAATGAGGACCATGCAACTCAAACTACTTTACAATTCCATCCCACCACAGTCAGGACCATCAAATCAGTAAATAGACAGCTCTTAAAGAACAAAACATAAACGTCTAATAAATATTTAAAAAACTGTTTAACATCCTGGGTCTTTGGGGAAATGCAAATTAAATTTGCTTGAGGTTAGAATGGTGCTGTTGAGGATGTATGGGGGTCTTAGTTATCACCAATGCAGCCAATGTGGAAATGAGTATGAGATTTCTCAAAATCTGCAAATAGAATTTTCACATGATTCAGGTTCACCTGAGTCTGTGCACATACCTAACCGAACTTAAGTTAACACACTACAAAGATACCTGCATACCATGTTTCTTGCTATACTGTTTTCAATAGCCAGGAATTGGAACCAGTCTAGATGTACATTGACTGGCAGATGGCTAAAGAAAATGTGGTATATGTACACGATGAAGTTTTGAGACTATATATATGACATGAATCAAGAAGGAGGCAGAAGGAAGAATAAGAGAGGGTAATGGATAATGAGGAAGGTGAACATGAGTGAAGCACAGCAATATATGTATGAAAATGCCATAGTGAAGCCCCTTACTTTGTATGTTAATTTTTAAAATGAAACAAAAGTAGTGGGCAATAACCAACTTCCTATATGGAAAAATGTAGTTCCAAAGATTTTAGGAATCTTCTGGAGACATTACTGATAGTTTCTTCGCTTGTACCATGGGGATAATGGCCTTTTTCTTCTGGTGTGGCAGTTATTAGGATTAAATGTGCTCAGCATAGGACCCGCCTTCCAGTGAGCCTATTTCAAAATAGTCCATATTAATCCTACTTCTTAAATGTTCCAAGCCACACTTAAAAAAATACACTTTTCGGCCAGGCATGGTGGGTCATGCCTTTAATTCCAGCACTCAGGAGACAGAGGCCAGCTGATCGCTGTGAGTTTGAGGCCAGCCTGGTCTACAGAGTGAATCCAGGACAGCCAAGGCTACACAGAGAAACCCTGTCTTTACAAACAAACCAAAAAAATAAGTAAAAATAAAAAATAGAACACCCCCCCCAAAGAAAAAAACAACAACAAAAATACTTTGCAAATCTTGACAGCATTGTTTATAAGAAATGATCAGAGATTTCGCATCTACACAAACAAAAAACAGATTAGTGGTTGCTAAGGATCAGGGGAAGGGGATGGTAAATGACTGCTTAAAGGGTCAAGGCTTTGGGGAGTAATGAAAATGTTCTAGGAATAGAGAAAGGTGATTCTGTGCAGTCTTAAAAGTACCGTAAAAACCATTGAATTATACACATTGAAAGGGTGACTGTGTGGTATGTGAATTATATATTTGTTTAAAACAATCCAAAAGGGCTGGAGGTGTAGCTCATTGGTGGAACACTTACTTAACATGTGCAAGGATGTGGATTCCATCTCCAGTATCACAAGTAGAAACAATGAATAAATAAATGTAAATTTTTTATTAAAAAAAATACGAGGGTTGGGGCTACAGCTGGGATACAAAGTGAATAAATTATAATAAATAAAAAATTATATTAAAAATAAATTAATTTAAAAAAGAAAAAGAAGTACGCTTGATATGGTGACCCATGTTTGTAATCCCAGCATTTGGGGATGAAGCAGGAGGATTGCTATAAGTTTGAGAGCAGTCTGGAGTACATGGTGAGTTCCTGGCTAGCCTAGGTTATAATTACTCAAAGTAAAGCAAAGCAAAGCAAAGCAAAACAAAGCAAAACACCACATTGCACTGAAAGCACATTGCATGCTCTTCTAATTATGCCAGATGTTGTGGCACATGCCCATTAATTTTAGTGTTCCAGAAGCTGAGGCAGGAGGATCTTGAATTTGGAGTTAGCTGTCTGCCTCAGCAAACAACCAACCCAAACTAGGTGCACATGATTGTGGGTTAGGACTGGGCAAGAGCACAGTGGCCCCAGGTATTACAGCACTGAGTGACCAGGCTGGGATCCTAAACAAGAACCTGTGGCTGACTTGGAGAAGCAGGCTTGATAGATGTGTCCTAGAAAGTGTGCAGGACTGGCTTCAAGCTACTTGACTCTTCCTGCCTCAGTCCTAGGAATTGGGCATCATGAGGATAGAGAGAATTTTATTTCCCTATATAGTTGTGTGGGGGGCTCACCATTATGTGTGTCAATCAATCCTCCACTGGGCAGAAGACTCAGTCTTGAGAAGTGTGATAAGCTTTCACCCCTTTCTTGATCTTATAGATCATGTCTTCTTCATCCCTCTTCACAAGATAGACAACAGGTAACTGTACCAAATACACAGAAGTCATTTGAATGGGCATTTCTGGGTACCAGGGAAGGTCATGAAGTTGCTCTA